GGGGGGGGGGGGGGGGGGGGGGGGGGGGGGGGGGGGGGGGGGGGGGTAATATGAATAGTGTGGAGAAAAAAAAATGAAGAAATGGGAAAATCTCAGCACCTGTTTCCAGGGCAACAGAGGTCTGAAACACAGGCAGGTTGGACTTTTTTTATTTATTTAATTTCATTTTCTTTTATATTCTCCACGCTGCACTGCCCTCTGGTCACATACTGCAGACACCTCCTCTTAATGACTCCACAACAACACACACACCACCGACCTCTCTTATTGTGACACTTTATAAACAGGAAATCACTAAACCATGTTACACATGATGCATCACAACATACGAGATCACAACATACGTGATCATACACGGGAGACGTCATTCTGCATGATCTTCTCTCCCCCACCACCCTCCTCCTCCTCCTCTTCCTCCTCCTCCTTCTCTTCCTCCTCCTCCTCTTCCTCCTCCTTCTCCTGTTCCTCCTCTGAGTGAGGCCTCTGGCTGGCTGAGTGACTGCAGACCAGAGTAGCAGATCATTTTTGAGAGGAGGAAGGTGGAGGAGGAGGAAGAGGAAGAGGAAGAGGAGGGAAAATGCCTTTCTCTGTGATCTCATGAATATATTATGAGGGTTATTGTGCAATGAGGAAGGTATTTGAGCTACCGGGTTATTTCCTGCCCCCCCTACTCTAATGTAAGCTGAGTCAGTTAGCCACTGTTCATAGGTGGCAATACATTACAAAAACAGCTGAATACTATTTATTATTTATAGTCTACTTACTCCTCAACAGTCCGGGGGTGTGAAAACAAAAAAATAAATATATTATTAACACGCTCGACGACGCGGTTATCGAGCAGCCGTGTCTTGCTATAGCCGGGGACTGCGACACTAGCTTAGCTTAGCTTAGCTTAGCTATCCGTGTGTGTGTGTGCTAACCGTTTACGATCGAGCAGCAGCGGCTCTTCGTCGTTGTAGCAGCTGGAGTCGGGCAAAACAAGGTAAAACTCTACGGTTACGGTAATTAATTAATCAAGCTAGTTATTAGCTCGACACGCTAGCTGCTTACGATGCCGTGTAAGCTAACGTAAAAGAAACAAGCTAAAGTTAGTTTTGGCTAAGTAGCCTCCAGGAGCTAACGGAGCTAGCGGTGCTAACGGTGCAGCCAGCAGCAGCAGCAGCAGCAGCAGCGTGTTAAAGAGCCTCCACATAAACTCTTATTTCCAGTCACTGGCACTAACCAGATAGATTGTTCAAACTTAATGCACTGCATTATCACCTATATACTATATTTATATTATTATTATTTCATAATTATACTTATAATCAATATATCTGCGTTCATTAAGCAGCTCAGCTCAGGTAGGTGAAACGAAACATCTGCTATTCTCTTATTTTTTGTGTGTGTTTGTAGTGATGTATTTCATACAGAGGTGTGTGTGTATGTATATATATACACATACACATATATATATATATATATATATATAGAGAGAGAGAGAGAGAGAGAGAGAGAGAGAGAGAGGGGCTGCACACACAGCATGCATGCACACCGCTTTGTTCTGCAGCATGTTTTTATTTATTTATTTCTTTTATTGTTGCAGCAGCAGTGTTTTAGCAGGTAGAGGTGATTTGCATGATTTCTTTGCACCACATCCTGGAGGGAATTTTTGCGTGTCTTTGGCAGCCTGGGTGCTTTATTTCAGACACAACAGTTTTGTTTTAACATGCAATATGGGTTTTTGTTGCATTGCAATGTGTGTTTATGTAGTAGTCAGTGCCCCCCCCTTAGGACAGGACTTCCTGGCTGTATCATGGGCTCAACAACATGTTGTTTGGCTGGAAGCCAGGCTGAGTTAGTTTAGGTCAGTGTTTGTGTGAAGTCTTGGTTGAAGAAGGTTGTAAGAAAGACTGAAAGCTGCAGACTATATATATATATATATATATATATATATATATATATATATATTAATTTGTTGTAGGATTTGTGCACCTTTTTATCTGAAACTCTCCAGATACACACAGTAGAATGATGTAAATGAGGACTTTATTATTATAGTACAGCTGATTGTCTTATTGTACACTGTATTTTTGATTATTTTTGCTTTAAATTTCAAACTCAAATCTTGATCCTGGTAATTGAAACCAGGCACCTGTAGCACACACCATGCTGCACACATTCAGTGGTGGTAGAAGTAATCAGGTATTTACCCTAAGTAGTAGTACTACAATGTATTTAAATACTCTGCTACAAGCAAAGGTTTTGCATTCAAAATCTTACCACAGCAAGAGTACAAAAGTATTAGCATCAAAATATACTTAATGTAGCAAAAGTACACGTTCTGTGAAATAATATATATAAATATATATATATTGTATTGTAACTATTGATGCATTCAAATGTTGCAGCTGGAGCTCATTTGAATGACTTTATATACTGCTGGGTAGTTTAATCAATGATAATACAGAGAGGATGTCGTACGACATGTACCTCTGAGATGACGTACAGTAAAAAGTACAATATGTACCTCTGAAATGTAGTGTAGAAGTATGTAGTAGCTGAAAATCTCAATACTCATGTAAGGTACCTGAGAATTGTACTTGAGTACAGTACTTGAGTACATGTAGTTCCACCACTGCTCACACACAACATGAAATCGGTCCTCCAGCCTTTTCTTCTTCAGTCTTTATTGTTTGCAGTATTAATATCTCATGTTGACGGCTGCTCCGCTGTCGTTAAGAGGCTTTTAATCGGTAATCTCTCGGATCCATTGAGACTCTTAATTAGCGCTTTATTAAAAGCAGGTGCACAGCGAGATCATCCCGGTGAGCCGGCGGTGTTGAACGGGATGCGTTACGTCTGCACCGGTTCCCTCATTCAGAGAAAGACTTTGACTCTCCAGACGTCTCTGTGAGGAGGTACGAGCAGCAGAGCTCCTGACTGATGACGTGCGTGCGTGCGTGCGTGCGTGCGTGCGTGTGTGTGTGTGTGTGTGTGTGTGTGTGTGCGCGTGCCAGCCAGAATGTTGAACATTAAATAAGAGCTCAAATGATTAGCTGAGTAGTTGATTGGCAGAGAAATGTCTTTTTCTGATAGTGACATGAATATATTTGGGTTTTGGACTGTTGGTCAGATTGTGTGATGGGCAGCTGGTCCATGAATTGGTGTTTATTTGGTTTATTATGTAATAAAAGCAGTTAGCTCAAACTAATGCAGTCGAACACAACGGGCGGTTATTAAATCCTGAAGGTTTGTGCTGAATCGTGTTACGATGTACTGACAGGTGTTCCTATTATTTTGTCCACCCCATTCATACAACAGAACTGGCTAAATTACAGAAACACTTCTCTGTTGTTTAGTTTAACATTTATTACTCACAAAACGGTCAAATATTTACTTCTGTGTGTTTTCATATTGTAATCAAGTTTATATATTTGGGTTAACCCTCTGAACCTGCGGGATTTAAAAGCATGTTTTCTTTAAACAATCGCCAAAACTACACCGGGTATCTCAGCCAGAAGCTGTAAAATTATCATCAGATTTTCATCTTTCCGATGGTGTTTGAACGCTTCTGTCAGAAAAAGCCGCCAAAACGAAGCTTAAAATATTGATATTTCATCAAAAACATTTTAGTCTACATGTTCTCATTATAAATGTCTCCTCTAATAAAGAGTTCACTTTAACTAGATCTTATAAAAACATTAAATTGTGAAACTATGACGTCATGATTGATTCATCTGAGACCAACAGTCATGTGACAACAAGACCCAGCGAAGTGAACACAGAGAGGAGAGGAGAGAGGAGAGGCTGAAACATGTGAATAGTTTAATATTTATAACGCATAGAGCCGCCATTTCTTGTACACACTTTATAACATGATAAATTCAACTTGTATATTGATATCATCATAACTGTGTTCTGCACTAAAGACACGTTCTCGTTCTCTCTACTTCTACTCTTGATGGTTCTGTTTCTATAGAGGTTCAGGGCTTTTATTTTGAAGGGAAAAACGAGACCACAGTGTGAGAAATAATTCTGCACGATAACAACTGTGACACGTTTAGTAGTAACTCCACACATTCAGATCAGGTGGCTGATTGTTTTCTGATTATCTGCTGCTTATCTTCTCAATTAATCCATAAATCGTAATCTAAAACATTAGAAAATAGTGATGATAAAGTCTTCATTTTTCCAGACCCAAACAGACTTCTTTAAGTGTCTTTGTTTTGTCCGTCAAACGCATTCCCAGGCGACCAGACGTCAGCTTTTAGTTGCAGAAACTGACACGTTAGCATTAAAAATGACGACATCAGTTATCAAAATAGTAATATTAATTAATTTTCTGTCTTTAAACTAATCAATTAATCGCTGTATGGTTTCATCTTTAATTTTGGGAGTTTAATCAACAACAATGCCTTCTATTTAATACGATTCTTTATATACAAAATGACTATCAAATACAGTTAAATGTGATGCAGTAAACAGAACAACATGATAGCCTCTGAGATGTAGTGGAGTAGAAGTATAAAGTAGAATGGCATGAAAGTACTCTCATAGTACACGTATACCTGAAACATGAGTACTTGAGTTACTGGATCCAAAACAACGAGCCTTTGATTCATCAACACGACGCTCCGACTGGCAGCTAATACATGATGTACAGTGTATTTGTGTGTTTTTACTAGTATCAGAGGGAGTGTTTAGTATTTCATCATCTTCCCCTTCATTCATACTTAAACAGTAATCTGTGTTTCCTCCAGATGATTCTGATCTGAACTGAACCTGATTACAGCTCTTTGTGGCTCCAGATGTAATCGGCAGCTTTAAGCTGATCTACGGAGGCTTCAGTGAGTCTGGATCAGTGCTGATAACTGAGCTTTGATTATCAAACGTTCAAAGTGTTTCATAATCGCGTATTATTATTATTGAGGCGTAAACGCTGCGTCATGTTACTGCATCACAGAGACATGAAATCATGATGAACAGGTTGTTTTAAAGCGGGAACCTTTGATCAGGTTCTAATGTTAGCGGTGATTCCTGCAGAGTGGAGCTTTGGAACCAAAATTAAGCAAAACATTGTAATATAGCAAAAGGAGCTAAAAGCTTTAAATGTTGTCGTAGAGTCTCTCCTGATAAAACGTTACGTTCTGTTTTTCCTTAAATTAAATCTTTACAGAAGCTACCTCAAAACCTTCTGAACCCAGAAACCCACCCATGAGTTTAAAAAGCATGTTTTTCTTTAATAGAAATCACCACGATGACGCCATTAATCATCTCCAGGAGCTGTGAGCTCTCAGCTTTACGACGGTCCTTGAACTCATCGTGTTCGCCAAAAGCTTCCAAGACGAAAACCAACCAAATCAAAGATATTAAGATTTTGATTTACTTTATTCTACGCGTCTCATTTCATTTTTAAATTGAGAAGCAATGAATGACTGACCAATCAGCTTCCCGTGAGGAGCTAGAGGCAGCTAGGGGGCGTGGCTTAGGTGTGTGTGTGTTCTAAACAACAATGGCGGCTCCTGAGGAGGTTAGCGTAGATGCTACATTAGCATTAGTTCTATTACAATGACGGCTTCTCAGATCGTTCTGTGTAGGCGAATCATCAGAGGGTTCAGGTTAAAAACACTTGTGGGAACTTGGAAAAAATGTTGAATATTTAGATTCTATTGTTTGCCAACTTTGAATGAATGTTTGAATGAATGTGGGCAACGGACTTGAACCAAACCTTCTCTGTTATTTGTTTTATCTGCTTTTTGCAGACAATAAATGCTTGAATCGGTTCAAACACAGCAGCGTTGGTGGCGGCTGAAAGCAGAGAGTCAGCTGAGGGTTGATGGAGTGTTTTAGTGTGTGAGCTGGAGGAAGAGGAAGAGTAGAAAGAGGTCGGGAGGTTAAGAAGGCGAGAGCATCGTGTCTTTGCTGCAGGTACAGTCTGTTCAGACATCTTAACAAACCTGTCTGTGATGGAAGGTACAAGGTGCCGTCTGGAGGCTGAAGAAGCCTTTTGATAGGAGGGAATTTAGGTAGAACGAGTCATGTGATTATTGCAGCAACCCTCCACAAGATGTGACCCAAATCTGCAAAAACCAAAGAGGAAGAAATGGGAGGAGGAGGAGGAGGGAGGGCGTGTGTTAGCATGGTAACTGTCAGATAAAGGAAAATGATTAGATGGAGACGGGATGTGGAGGATAGAGAGAACCTGTGGCAGATTTATAAAGAACATGGCGTTAAAATGAAATAAATGTCAGAAGAAGAGGATTCCTCCTGCGACTGATTTGCACGTCGGCGTGCTGCCGAGAGTCTCATCTCTGTTCTCTTAAATTCCTTTTGAAATCAGAAAGCTAAATTTAGCTTCCACCACCACCCCCTCCTGTGAGAGGTATTAGAGCTACAGCAGTCATAGTGATAGGCTAACGTTTTGATGTACACACACACACACACACACAGATTAAAGTGGCTCTGAGTGGGAGGGCGCTGTGTCTTTTGTGCACACGGTGTGGGCTACGGTGATGATGAATTGTTGCTGTGCCGCAAATGAGCTCTGAGTAACCGTCTTTTTTCATGTGTTGTGTCTTCCTCCTCCTCCTCTTCCTCCTCTCAGGGATCCTCTTGAGGACAGTGGGGGCTCTCGAATGATCCCCCCGTTCATCCGATGAACCCCCTCAACTCCATGAAACCTTCCCTGCCTCCCAATCCGCAAAGGTACACACACACACTGATGTGACATTAAGCTCCGTGTCCTCAGGTGAACCATGTGACACCCTGTATTTGTTGTGGATCCCAGGGGGGCCTGTAAGTTCGTATGTGGACAATAACAAATACAAATGCAAACATACTGTAGAATAACAGAATCCCTGTGGACTAAAGTGGTCGTGTCTCAGAGCACCAGACCCTTTAGAAAACCTCATTTTACTGCCACGGTGGACCGGTCTCTGCTGGAGGATCTGGGTCTGTCCACGGTGGACTGGTCTCTGCTGGAGTCTGAGCTGAAGGAGGTTCTGGTGAACCTGCATGAGTTCATCTGGTTTCACCAGAATCCGACCCGGTGGCTCCGATGACGAGCATTAAGAATAACTCTATAGAAACAGACCATCTTCTCTCTGATGGTCTCTGTACTGATGGAGGTCTGATAGAGGATCAGGACTACACTGAGACTGGTTCATATAGAGGATCAGGACTACACTGAGACTGGTTCATATAGAGGATCGGGACTACACTGAGACTGGTTCATATAGAGGATCGGGACTACACTGAGACTGGTTCATATAGAGGATCGGGACTAAACTGAGACTGGTTCATATAGAGGATCGGGACTAAACTGAGACTGGTTCATATAGAGGATCGGGACTACACTGAGACTGGTTCATATAGAGGATCGGGACTACACTGAGACTGGTTCCACAGGCTGAGTGCAGACCTCCAACCGAGCGTCACAAACCAGATCGTTGATCGCTCCGTCAATGAATCACTCTGTTTCTGTCCCACTTTGTTTTTATTGGCAGACCAACTCATACCACATATCTCAACGGACAGGAAGTGGTATTACTTGTTTGGGAGCAACTCCATGTCAGACGGCAGCTGGCATTTTTTTTTTATCCCAAAAATTCAGAGCTTTATCGCAGAATATCACCTCCCTCCCCAGTCTCCATACATCCATCCATTTTCCTCCGCTTATCCGGGGTCGGGTCGCGGTGGCAGCAGGCCAAGCAGGCCGATCCAAACTTCCCTCTCCCCGTCAACATGTTCCAGCTCATTCTGGGGGATCCCGAGGCGTTCCCAGGCCAGCTGGGAGATGTAATCCCTCCAGCGTGTTCTGGGTCTTCCCCGGGGTCTCTTCCCAGTTGGACGTGCCTGGAAAACCTCCAGTGGGAGGCGTCCAGGAGGCATCCTAATTAGATGCTGAACCACCTCAGCTGACTCCTTTCGACGCGAAGGAGTAGCGGCTCTACTCCAAGCTCCCTCCTGATGACCGAGCTCCTTACCCTATCTCTAAGGCTGAGCCCGGCCACCCTACGGAGGAAGCTCATTTCGGCCGCTTGTAGCCGCGACCTTGTCCTTTCGGTCACGACCCAGAGTTCGTGACCATAGGTGAGGGTAGGAACGTAGACCGAGTGGTAAATTGAGAGCTTTGCCTTCCGGCTCAGCTCCCTCTTCACCAAGACGGTCCGGTGCAGCGCCTGCTTTACTGCTGCAGCCGCACCGATCCGTCTGTCGATCTCCCGCTCCATCTTACCCTCACTCGTGAACGAGACTCCGAGATACTTGAACTTCTTCGCTTGAGGTAGGCACTCTGTCCCCACCTGGAGGGAGCAATCCACCGGTTTCCGGCAGTCTTTTATTATTTATTATATATATATATTTATTACCTAATATGCCGGTCGAAGACACCTCGAGGGAAACGGGAGCTGCTGGGGTTCGGAGGGTTAATGTGGTTTTCACACTAGTTTCCTGTTTGAGGTTCAGAAGGAGGAAGTGGAGGGTAACCTCAACCGTGGGATCAATAAACCACGTTCAGGTCAACCGTTGGCTCAGCGAGAGGACGACGATGTGTTGTCGACCTTTTCACTTTGCTGCTGCCGTACAAAGGAAGAGGAGATAATAAAAACATCATCTGTGATACGTTCCTCCTGGAGCTTCCTTCACTGTCGCAGTGTCTCTGCTTCGTGTCTCTCTGCAGCAGCGACGGCCCCTTCCTGAATGACCCAGTCTCCTGGCAACCAGGAACCAATCAGCACCCAGGATCTCTCTCTGTAGTAACCACAGTGTGGGGCGTGACCAATCCCACACACAGCCAGGTAACACATGCCTCTTTATTCTCTTGGTCCTCAGGGTTTCTGTGCAGAAACGATGCAAAAGCAGCTTATTTGCACAATTAAAAAATATATCTATTAGTAATAATATCACACTGCAGGAAGAGGCAGAAAACCCTTTGAAACCTCCATTTAAATAATGTTAAAACATCACAATATTATATTAATACACATAAGATATGACTACAGAGTTCATTGTGGTGAAGTTGTGGATGAAGCTGAATCGTGTTAAGTTGTGAAGCGGCTCATAAAGGTCTCCGTCAGAACGACTCTTCTCCTCATATGAAAGTCTGACTCCTCAGTTGCTTCATTAGATCTTTTTATTACCAATAAACCATCAAATACTCTAAATGTTGTCCTTTTACTTTGTTATGGAAATATAGTGTTTTTATTTCTTCATAAAAACACACAATTCAAATGATAAAGAAACAAAAGATTGTATTGTTTTTCAAACTACTGGATCACATCTCTCTCTCTCTCTGTGTCTCTCTCTCTCTGTCTGTCCATCTGTCTCTCTCTCTGCCTCTCTCTCTCTCTCTGCCTCTCTCTCTCTCTGCCTGTCTCTCTCTCTCTCTCTGCCTCCCCCTCTCTCTCTCTCTCTCTCTCTCTCTCTCTCCCCCCCGTAGGTGTTTGGTTCTCCCATGGGTCCGGGTGAGAGCTCCGGTGGTCACATGATGCCCGGCGGTAGCCCCGGTATGAGCTCCCAGTTCATGGGTCAGCAGTCGTACGGAGACGTGTCTAAAGGCTACGGCCAGCCGGTCATGTACGGACGTCCCAGCGCCGCCTACAACCCGGCCTCGGCCTACGGGGGGAGGTACGCCGCCTCTTCTGCTTACCCAAAGTCAGTCCACTCATCCTCTCACTCCCGCATCTCATCCCAAATGTCACGGCAATCCAGCCGATCCAGAACATTCACTTGTTGCAGAACTCCACAAAACAACAGATTTCCTCTTTTTCTTTTTGTCACTTAAAATGAGCTCTGTGGAAGGTTTTGAAGGCAGGAAACACACATCGAAGACTAACTTCCTTTTTTTTACCTCTCAAACAGGAAGTAAAGATAACAACAAAGATGGTTTTAGAAGCATTTTAACAAGCTGTAGGATATATAACAACAACACATTATCAACAACAAAAAAGACAGGAAATTGGATTATGTGTGTGAATAGAAAAAGCTTATATTTATTTATTATTTATGTATAAAATAAATAAGACTCGCATATACCAGACTGCTACAGTAAAAATACGGTTTTGTATATTAAAAGTAAAATTCTATTTATTATTTTCTTTTGAATATTTGTATAATAATTTTTAGAATTACAATGTACAACATCATTTGTTTAATTATTTTACATTTATTTGATATATAACACAATAAGAACACACAAGGATTCAGAAACACTAACGTCCTCTGAATACGTCTCAACCAGGAAGTAAAGATATTTAACCTTTTAGTGACGACAGCCCCCGAGCCCTATTTTTAGGCCTCTGCTCGAAAATTGCATACCCATACTTAAAAGACTGTAAATCTGAAACTACAAGGTCTATTTTAATAATTTTGATGGTATAATACAGGTAAAACTTGTAAGAGACTTGTTCAGATGTGTAAAGATGTGTATATGTTACTGGTTAATGCAGCGCTTTGTGGTGTTGTTTCTGCGGCGGGGTTATTGCATCAACATGTATCAGCGTGGCAGCTCTCTCACCCACTGCTCTGACTCATGCTGGTGACGCAGCCACACACACACACACACACACACAGTTCACCACTCACCTCCCTGTCTCCTCTCGCTCTCGCTCTCGCTCTCTCCCCCCCCTCCCACAGTTACTCCGGTAACGGTGGCGGTGCCGGTATGGGGGTGCGTCCTCCCTCAGACTTCACTCAGGCTGCTGCCGCCGCCGTCGCCGCAGCCGCCGCCACAGCAACCGCCACCGCTACGGCAACCGTTGCAGCAATACAAGAGAAACAGAACCAGGAGCTGAACTATGGCCAGGTACATGTATTTATATATATATATATATATATATACTGTGTGTATATTTATATTTATTTATATATATATATTTGTTTTTTATTTGTATATATTTCTTTTTTTAAATTTCTATATATATTTATATATTTTTTTATATATATATATATATTAAAACATTATAATAAAAGTAAGTGGAAGTTTTAGTGTATGTCTAATATTAATTGTTTGTTGTTATATATTAATTTATTGTTTATTATGAACAGCTTGTTGGTGAGCAATTTATTAATGTTGGTGTTCTATGTTTGTATATATGTAGTAATCTACAGGCCTAGTGTGACATCATATATACATAATTAATAAATAATAATTATTAGCCTGTTTTTAGTCCTACTTTCTCTTTGTGTGAGAGACCTTGAAGTGGTTTTTGATGGATCCAGGTCCTGGACTTCTTTTCTTTCCGTCACCGTTCACACTCAAACACTCAGTGAGCTTTATTTTTACCTCTGCTGTCGTACTTCCCTTTCCCCTCCCAGATGGGTGGAGCATCCTCTTACAGCACCCAGTTCCTGTCTCATGCGGGCCCACGTGGTCCTCCTGGGATGGTCTCCTCCAGGCCCGGACCTCCACCCTCCAGCGGAGGCCTGTATCCGACCCACCCGGCCCAGGCTCAGAAGATGCCCCAGCACGGAGGTTACCCTGGTCCACAGCAGGGGCTCAAACGGCCTTTTCACTCCGAGGTCAGTAACACGTTACGTTATCTTAAAGGGACAGTGCACTGAACTCTGCATCTCTTTCTTCTGATCCTCAATAAACTCGTGTGTGTGTGTGTGTGTGTGTGTGTGTGTGTGTGTGTG